TGTGAAAAAATAATTTGCAAACATTTGCAAAATGGCATAACTGCAAACTAACATAAGGGCAAAATGCTAATTAGCACTAATGCAAATGTGTGCTTTAAACTTTAGTCCATACAATTTTTTTAACCAAGACAATATTCATATATATAACTAGACTAATAGTTCGTGTACATTAATGATCTGGACTACACTAATGGTTAGTGTGCTATATTTTAAATATTAATAATTAATAGTTAAACTATATCGTTAAATTTAATTAAACATTTACATTTTATGAGAAAAAGAAAAACCTTTTTTAATACAGTAGTTGATTATAATTTCATAAATTATAAAAAATAATATTATTAAATTATGGTATTTTTAATTTTATGAAAAATTCACTCATAGCCAAATATAATATGGCAGCTGAAAAAAGCAAAGGATCTTTTTTAGCCTAACCAAGTCATACAACTTAATAAAAGGTAAGTATATATATATACATATATGTATATATATATATATATATATATATATTTAATATACTTTTATATATATTAAATATATATATATATATATATATATATATATATATATATATATATATATATTAAGTATATTAAATATATATTAAGTATATATATATATATTTAATATACTTTTTATTTGTGTGTTTTATGAAATTATATATTCATTTTTAAACATATTTGTAATTTAAAAACTTATTACTATTATTATTATGTGCTTACTGGAAAACATATTTTTGAAGCGTGTCAATTTTTATTTTTAAATTCCTAGCAATTTTACAAAAAAAAAACTATAATTGTTTCTTTTTGTACGTGCATTATTTCTCTCATCATTATTATAGATCCATTTTTTTCGTGTTTAGCCATTTTTACTTTTATTAAATTTTTAGAAATAGATAAAAATTAGTCTAGATAGATAAAAATAAGTTTTAATTGTTACATATTTGAATTTGGAACTTCTTGAAGAAGTATAAATGTTTTTCTATTTGAAATATTTTCTTCCAATGATGTTTATAATAAAGAATCGAAAACAAAAGTTTTACAAATTTTAAATAAAAATATATCTTTAGTCATAATATATTATAACTAAAGATAAAATATCATATCAGATAACTTTTTTGTTAGATTGACAGATTTACCATGTTCAATAAATCAACCAGTTAAGAGCTTTTCATTGGCAAATCTTTCTTTAAGCAGGATATAGTAGTTTTTCATATTATTTACTTTATTTTTCTTCCATTGACATATACGAAAAAATTTGGTGGATTTAAATTTTGTGGGAAGCCATTCGCATTAAAACGGGTGGCTTCCCTTCCATGTTTTTTGAGTTCGTACACTTTTAAAAGCTCAACTCAAAGAAATCAACTTTTTTTTCTGAAGCAAATGAAAGTCAATATTTAATTATTTATATAAAAAAAAAATCAAAGCTATTTCATATGTGGCTATTTAAATAGCAACAAATCTTATAAAACATTATTTGGTATAAGATAAAATAAAAAGTTTTTTATCTTCAAAACAAGGTTATCACAAGATTTAATGGTTTATGCATAAGCATATATATATATATATATATATATATATATATATATATATATATATATATATATATATATATATATATATATATGTATGAATATATAAATATATATATATATATATATATATATACACATATACATATATATATACACACATATATATATATATATATATATATATATATATATATATATATATATATATATATATATATATATAATATATATATATATATATATATATATATATATATACTATATATATATATATATATATATATATATATATATATATATATATATATATATATATATATATATATATATATATATATATATATATATACATGTATACATATATATATATATATATATATATATATATATATATATATATATATATATATATATATATATATATATATATATTTTCGGGTGGTGTAAAAACAACATTTTTTGAAAATATCTGATAGGACACCCTAAATGTGTTCTATGTAGTAAATCAATACAACATTTAAAAAATTTTCGTATGAAAATTTTTTTTTAGGGGTTGTACAAGACCCTTAAACATCAGACAGGTCCCCAATAATCAGACAGGTCCCTAATAACTCAAATTCATTTGAAAAACCACAATATACTCTAGGACTTTTTATTGATCTATCAAAAGCTTTTGATAAGTTGATCACCAAATTCTAATCTATAAACTTAAACACTATGGAATAAAAATTAAAGTTTTAAAATGGTTTGAAAGCTATTTGTCAAATTGTAATCAATTTGTTCCGAGTAATGACGGTTATCATACCAATTGTCTTTCTATAACATGTTGGGACTCCACATGTTATAGAATATGTTATAGACTCCACATCTTGTGGACTCCACAAGGCTCAATTCTTGGTCCACTCTTTTTCCTAATTTAAATGAATGATTTAAATAAAGCCTCTAAACTAACAAGTATTATGTTTGCAGATGATACTAACTTGATTCTTTCTAACAGTGATATCTTTGAACTTTTTAAAACAATGAACAATGGGCTTATACATGTATCGAGTTGGTTTAAATGTAATAAGTTAACTCTAAACTTTAATAAAACAAAGTGGACCTTATTCCATTCGCTTTCCAAAAACGGTATTTGCCTATAAACTTACCTAAAATTTTTATTGATCAAAATGAAATAAAAAGGGATTCCGTAACAAAATTTTTAGGTGTTTGTCTTGATGAAAACATCACTTGGAATTATCATATCGACTACATAAGCACTAAAATTTCAAAAAAAATAGGAGTTTTATATAAAGCACGAATCTACCTCAATAAGAAAATTTTAATCAAACTTTATTATTCATTTATACACAGTTATTGAAATTATGCTAATATCGCCTGGGGTAGTACAGAAAAAAGTAAGTTGCAACGTCTTTATCGCCGTCAGAAACATGCTATCCGTTTAATCTGCTTTGCAAATCGCTTTTCTCACGCAAAACAATATTTTATTGAAATGAGAATTTTAAATATATACGAGCTAAATATATATATAATGTTTTATGCTTTGTATACATGTGGAAAAATGACTTTTCTCAATCTGTCTTAAAAGATATTTTTACTCCGAAACCCATCAACAAATACAATTTGAGAAATACTGATTTTTTAAACGAACCTTTCTGTCAAACGAACTTTAATCAATTTTCTATTGCATATCGGGCACCACACCTTTGGAATAAAATTGTTTTGCCCAATTTTGATTTCGAACTACACATTACTTTTCGTTTTTTTAAAAGTAAATTAAAAGCCCTAATTTTTTCACTTGAAGACGTATTATGTTATTATTAATAATATAAATTAATAACTTTGCCTTTTCTTATTTATATTTGTAAAAAGTTTATTCCTACTTACTTTGTTGATTTTATATTCTTTACTTAACGTATACGTTTATATAAAATATTGGTGAGTAGATCCGCGTGATCTCTCTTTGGATTATATAATATATATTTGGATTATATATATATGAAATTTGTAAAAATTCGATACTCTTAATGCTTGTTTGAACTTATTTAAGGTTCTGACGACAAGATCCTTTGATCTTCTTTCAGATACCTTATTTTATACTTGTGAAAGTTTATTATTATTATCATTATTTTTTTTTATTTTTTTTTTTTGGCAATATATAGTTGTAATACGACCAACAAATGTAAAATTAATAAAAAAAAATAAAAAAATTAAAAAAATATTTTGACAAAAAAATTTTTCAAAGGTGTATTATGTTGGGTCTCAATAAAAGTTAAACTTACGAAAGCTCAAATTAAAAAAGTTTATTATAAAAAACTATCGTTTTTTAACAAAGTAAAAAAGTACATATTTTCATAGTTTATATATATATATATATATATATATATATATATATATATATATATATATATATATATATATATATATATATATATATATATATATATATATATATATATATATATATGTATATATATATATATATATATATATATATATATATATATATATATATATATATATATATATATATATATATATACATATATATATATATATATATATATATATATATACATATATATATATATATATATATATATATATATATATATATATATATATATATATATATATATATATATATATATATACATATATATATATATATATATATATATATATATATATATATATATATATATATATATATATATATATATACATATATATATATATATATATATATATATATATATATATATATATATATATATATATATATATATATATATATATATATATATATATATATATATATATATATATATATATATATATATATATATATATATATATATGGTCATAATTTTTGAAAAACAAGAGATTATTGCATGAAATTTGAAATTTTTTCATGAATATTACTTAGATAAAAATACCCTGACTGAATTTTGATCAATAACAATAAGAATGTTTCTTAAAGCAAAATTGATGAACTCCTTTGCAGAACACGGTGCAGCAAAGATTGTTTGTAACAATAAGAATGTTTTTTTTAAACAAAATTCATGACCCTAACTTATTTGTAGAACACGTTTGCTTAAGTTTATCAGTTTATCCATCTATTTGCTGTATTAAAGAGAAACTAATTGAATGCTGTTTAGTTATGTATCGCATCGCTTGAATTTATGCTCGGACTTTATCATACACTGGTAAAATCAAGTTTAGTTAAAGCGTTTTTACTCCCAATTTCATCAAGAAAAGAACTGTAATTATTGATAAACTTGAGTTTACAAAAAAATATATCTGATTCTAGATCTAATATGAAATAATCGGGGAACTGTTTATCTGTTGAGTTCGGCATTTTTTAGATTTTTGTGCACTTATTGGTAGTCTGGGCACAATAAATAAACAATTTTCAACATAAATTCAAAATTTTAACTTTTATTGCTTATAAACAAAAGAATCAAGCAAATACTGGCCACACTATCTGTAATTATAAATTAAATTTAACAATAAAAAAAAATATTAACAATATTATCGAAGATATAACGAAGTTCATATTTATCACACCAGGAATACACAAAATAGTAAGCTATACTATTCTTTTTTCAACACAATCAAATATGGTAAGTTTTCCATTAAACAACAATATATTTCTCAATGGAACCAGTGTATTCCTGCCAGTGTATTCCATGTATTCCTGTATATCCACTTGTTACGAGTTTTTTACTGCTCAACAGAATTCAATTTTAAAATATATTTTTCTATTTTTTATTTTTTATTTTTTATTTTTGTTCTTTATTACATTTTAAACAACATTCCGTTATAAATATACAAATTAAAAAAAAATATATAGAAGTTACAAGAAAATAAAAAAAAAGAAAAATCGTAAATAAGAAATAAAAGAACGCGGGGACTCGTAGAAGACCGTAAGGTCTTGTCGTCGAGAACCGCTAAAATGAACGTGATACAAACAAATTAAAAATATTCAGAAAACCCGTCATAAATATAAAGATCAGTTTTATAAGTACTATATAAGTTAATAAACATATAAATTGTCCTATATATTGATACATATTCTTGGTAAATATATAAATTATAAAATAATAGTTCTTTGATAAGTGGAGGTAAAAGGGGAAAACTATTAAAAATTATTAAAAGTAAATTGATAGATCGTCAATTGTAAAAATTAATTCTTTTAACTTTCGTTTAAAAGAGTTGTAGTTACATTGTTGGATAAAATCTTGAGAAAAGTTTTTTAAAACAATTTTGTTCCATAAGAATGGTCCGCGAGAAGTAATGCAGAATTTGCTCAAGTTAGTTTGAAAAAATGGCTGCCTAATAAAATTGTTATTGCGTAAAAAGTATTTATTTTTATCTTTTAACATATACAAATCATGGAAAGAAACTGGTGAAGAATTAGTTTTACATTTGAACGTAAAACAAAGAGTATTATAAACATTGAGTTGATATACATTTAAGGCGTTCATTTTTTTTAATAGAGGCTTTGCATGAGTAAGACGTTCACTAAAATGTATCAAACGTGCTGCATGCTTCTGATGACGATAAAGAGGTTCAAGTTTGCTTTTATTGGTGCAAGCCCATGCAATGTTTGCATAATTTATATGGCTATGAATAAAAGAGAAATATAATTGAGTTAAAATTTTTTTATTTAAAAAGTTTCTTGCTTTATATAAAATTCCTAAACTTTTTGAAGTTTTGTTATATAAATTTTCAATATGATTTTTCCACGAAAGATTATCATCAATATAAACACCTAAGAATTTTGTAACGTTTACTCTAATTGTTTCGATGTTATCAATAAAAAGGGATGGCATTTCATAAGGCAGTAGTTTTTTCTTAGAGGGCGGGTGAAAGAGAGTCCAGTTTGTTTTTTGAATATTAAGCGATAATTTATTTAATTTAAACCAGTAAGAAATCTTGTTTAATTCTACATTCATAAGTTGAAACAGAGTAGTGATGTTAGTATGAGATAAGAATAAGTTTGTATCGTCTGCAAACATGATTGTTTTTAATCTGGATACTTTATAGAGATCGTTGATATATATAAGAAAAAGAAGTGGTCCGAGAATAGATCCTTGAGGAACACCACAATTAATTTCTAACAAACTTATTGGAGAAGAAGCGTCAATGGTTACAAATTGTTTGCGATTACTTAAATAACTTTTTATCCACTTTAAAACATTTCCAGTTATTCCGTAATTTTTGAGTTTTTTAAAAAGAATTTTATAATCTATTGTATCAAAGGATTTCGATAGGTCGATGAAGATGCCTAAAGTATATTCGGATTTCTCGAAAGATTCTGTGATACTACGTGTTAGCTGGAGAATCGCGTGCTCTGTAGAGTTGTTTTTTTTGAATCCATACTGGTGGTTAAATAATAAATTGTTGTTAGTTAAATGAGTGTAAATTTTGTTATAAATAATTCTTTCTAAGACTTTAGAAAAGACTGGAAGAACAGAGATAGGGCGATAGTTTTTGATATTTGTTAAGTATCCTCCTTTGAATATCGGTGTGATTTTTGCAATTTTAAATTGATCAGGAAAAATTCCTTGTCTGATTGAAAGTGAAAAAATATTAAAAAGCACGTCTTTTATAGCCTTGTATGAATTTTTTATTACATTGCTATTTATATCATCGAAGCCACTTGCTTTATTTGGTTTTAGCGCACTAAAAGCTGTTTCAAATTTTTCAAACGATAGTTCCAAAAAATCAAGATTAGCTAATGCAATAGATGAGATATCACTTGTTTTCTTTATATTTGGTATATTTCTTGCTAAATTAGGTCAGATCGTGACAAAAAATTTGTTTAGTTCGATTGCTATCTCACGTGGATCATAAGAAATATCACCATTAATTTTAATGCTATTTTTCAGAGCGCATGATTTAATTTTTGTTTTACCGGTAATTTCTCTTAAAATTTGCCATGTGCGCTTTGAATCACATTCGTATCGCATAAGTATATCGGAATAGTATTTTTTTTTAAGATTCTTTCTAATTTTTACAAATTCTCTTGCATATTTTTTGTAGATGGTTTTACTTTCTATCGTTTTTTCTTTAAGGTATTTAATATACAACTTTTGTTTGACTTTTGATGATTTTCTTAGGGTGTTTGTAATCCATGGTGATTTTGCACTTTTGGTTTTTAAGTTTATTTTGCGTTTCGGAAAACTTACATCATATACCTCATAGAAAGATTTAAAAAAATTGGTTGTAAGCAAAGTTTATGTCAGATGAAATGTTTATATCTTTCCAATGAAGCAATGACAGTTGTTCATGAAACGATAATAAATTAGCTTCGTTATAGATACGTTTTAAAAAGGTAGTTTTTTCATTAGGTAGTACTTTTGGTTTTATATTTATAGAGAAAAAAATGGGGAAATGATCGGAAATGTCACTTTTAATAATACCCTTTTTTAAAGATTCATTAAAAACATCGTTAGTTACAATATTATCGATTATTGAAGCCGTTTTTTCAGTAATTCTGGTTGGTCTATCTATTAAAGGAAACGCTCCATTTTTGAATAATTGGTTATAAAACTTTTGTGTGCTTTGCTTGACGTGATAATCAAAACAATTTAAATTATAATCACCAATTATATAGATTAATTTATTTTCGTGGTCAGCTTTTTTCATAATATTAGTATTTAAATATGTGTTGAAGCATTCAATTTTTCCAGAAAGTGGGCGATAAAAACAACTTAAAAGTATGTTTTTATTTTTTTGGGTTAAAATTTCAATTGTTAAAATCTCTTTATCGTCATCAGAAATACTCAGGACGAGCCTTGTAAAAAATTGAAAACTTTCCATTATGTAAATAAGCACACCGCCGCCTCGTTTATTTGCTTTACGCGCTATTGATATTATTTTAAAACCAGGTAAATGGATATTACAGTCATAATTCACTTCGTCAGAATCGAACCACGTTTCGGTAACACAAATTATATTAAAAACGTTTAGAGTATCTTTCATACATAAGCAAATGCTTTCAAAATTTTTTTTTAAGCTTCTTATATTTATATGCAAGGCATTCAAATGATCACGCTCTAGGAAGTCCTTTGTTTCATGTGCGTAAAAATAACAACAATTATTTTGTAAAGCACCTGCTTCGCTCAAATATTATTGGAGTGTATTTCTTTATAATTTCTCTCTGTACTGTTGTTGTCTTCAATATATAATCTTTTTAACGAACAAGTGATTTGATTTTTACTTCATTTATAATTTACCTATCTTATATTTATTTATTATTGTGTTATTAATGTTACATTTTATGTTATTATTATATCTAATTATCACCTATGATTTGTACATACAATTTATATTGTAAAATAATATTCTTAATATTATTGGTACTTTATCATTATTGTTATTATGTTGTATTATTACTATTATTATTACATATATCATTATTATTTGTTTAACAATCTTTTCTTCTTTTCTCTCTTATTTGTATATGCAGATGTTGAATTTTTCCTTTTCTTTTTTTTTTTTTTTTTTTTTTTGTTTTTTGCTTTTTTTTGTTTTGTTTTGTTTTTTTTGTTTTGTTTTTTTTTTGTTTATTTATTTATTTTTTCGTGAAATTTTTATGTTTTTTATGTGTCACTCCATTGACTAGTTTGTAACTATATGAGTGATACCTAACCAATTTATATTAACTTACGATGAAATTTATAAATTTTATTGATATGGTTGAACAAAAAGGAAAGAAAAAAAAATTATGACTATCACAAAACCAACCGTTTAAATAAAAAAACATTAGAAAAGCGTGATTCTTCATGATTTTCAAACCATAATATTTGTGACCAATAATACTAATGAACGAATATTTATAAAATGTAAAGAAAACTTAAAAGAAAAAATTTGAAAAGTTATCTTAAGAAAAGTTGCTACATAAACAAAACAATAACAACCACAACAACCATCAAAAACTAATTTAAAAAGTTAAAGAGGTAAGACTTAATTTAGCTAATTCTGATATACCAATACATCATAAAAAACTACTTGATCTCGGTCCAAAGTTTGTCTCCCATCCAAAACACATACCTTATTTAGATATTATATCAATTTTTCTTGTTATACTGTTATTTTAAAGTAGACCATCGTCTGCTTTAAAATAACAGTATAACAAGAAAAAAACTAAAGAAGGTAAACTAAGACAGGATGTTTTGAGAATTTTAAAAATAGGCTAGATAAAGAACAACGTAAAGCTCTTTATGAGATTAAGAAAGACAATAATATTATGATATATCCGTTTGATAAAGGATCTGGATTAGTGGGAATTAATTCTGATAGTGCTTTAACCAATATACAAGAACATTTTGGAAGCAAAACAAAAAGACTCAACTATGAGCCTACTCCACATATCATTTGTAAAGTTCAAAACACAATCAGAAAACTAAATAAAGTAGGTCGATTTACCGTTAAAGAATATAATAATCTTTACCCAAATGATGCTATACCATCTCGTTTGTATGAAGTCATAAAAGCCCACAAACCTGAAAAAAACTACCCAACGCGAGTTATTGTAAACACTATTGGAACGGCTACATACAAAATTTCTAAATTC